CATTAGGCAGTGACGTTTCCAAGCTGCCACGTGGGTGACCCACAGGGATGGCCTCCTCTGTTGGCTGACTGAGTCTGAATGACAAGACCATTAAAACTGGTGCAAAAGCAGAACTGATGGAGAAATGCTCCTTGACGACAATCAAACAAAATGAACATAAACCACAGAGAAGCTCCCGCTAATCGAATTAATTTGTTATTTATTTAAACGGCACAGGAAAAATCTTCTGGCATCACTGGCCAGTTCAAACGTGTGTCTCTGCTGTGGCTTATTATTGTTCTCCAGAGCACTAATGCTGACCAACAAAACACTAACTACCTCTTGTCTAATAAATGAACGGAGGGTAGGGGAATGCAATTTTCTGCTTGTCTGCAGATGAGGGTGACTTATGCCCAACTCTCTTCCTTCCCTCTCCTGTGCAGAAATGTGAGCACTGCACAACTTCTATCATCCTGAAGGCTAAAGTGATATAAAATGTTACATACTGGTAAGGTTTAACAAATGTTTTAAAGTTTTATTTAAGTAGTTGACCTCTGTTCCACGAGCAGCTCCTGAGCATAAATATTAGTGGTGCAGACATACACTTCATGAATCGCTAACCACACAAATTTTACCATTTGCGTTACATTTTCTGTGAAAACAAGATAGTAAATAATGTGCTTAGTATTTATCATCATGCTTTTTTTTTTTCTTTTTTTTTTGCACAGAGTTGTCTCCTGTTTTCTCCCTCCTGCAAGTCGAGGTTGTGTCTTATGACGGAGCTTTAGGGTCACGGTAAGAAAAAAAAATCAGAAGCCATAAAATTACAAGAATAAAGTTGTAGTATTACGAAAATAAAGTCGTACGAGACTTCTTTTTTTTTTACAGCTCTCGTTTATTTTTTCCACGAGTCGGATCCACGTCGACGGGACCTGTCAATCAATCCAGTAGGCGTGTCAGCAAATGGCCAATTTGAAGCTAAATGAGTCGTAATAATATCCAAACTCCGACACGATAAAGCAGGGTTTACTTAATTTTAACTGTGGTAAAATGAAGAATGTTGAGCATCTTGTTAAGTTATACTTTGGTATTGGTTTTACAGATAAGCAGATAGTTATTAATCTGTGAGCACATCAGAATTAGATTATTATCAGTATCAGGACTTTGAACCTGCTTACAGTAAGGTGGTATGCTCTGATAGGCTGCAGTGCAGCTCTGCAGGTAAAGAGCATTTAGCTTCGGATTGGTCATTTGCTGACACGCCTACTGGATTGATTGACAGGTCGCATCGTGGATCCAACTTGTGGAAAAAAATACAAATAAACGAGAACTGTAAAAAAAAAAAAAAAGTCTCATACAACTTTATTCTCGTAATTTTATGGCTTTTTTTTCTTAGGGTAAGCCTAAAGTTCCGTCGTGTCTCATGAAAAGTCTGTTCTAATAATTAAATCAGAGAAACGGACGCCTCATGTACCCACATCCACCCCCCACCCCCATCCTGAAATGGGAGAATTTTACATTTCAACTGTGTAAAATAAAACAGACATGTACAAAGCTTTTTTTTTATTTGATTTGAAGTAGTAATTCAGAAATAATAGTCCAGATTAGCACAGTCAAACAGAGAATAACTGGAGTAATTGTAAACAAATATAAAAGTCAAATGATTTAAAGTTTCAAACCAGAGTTCAAAACTGCAGATTACAGATTGCAGCCCTATACTTTTTAAAGCCAGAGTTTATTAAATTAAATCCTACCATGTTGGTGAATATGTAGGGGCGAGTGGTGGCACAGAGGTTAGAGAAGGCGAGCATGTGATCGGAAGGCTGCCGGTTCGATCACCCGGACTGACAGCATCAAATAATGTGGGTGGAAAAGGTGAACTACCCACACCTGCCTCCACCCTCATTTGCCCCACTCTGTACCCTTAAGCAAGGCCCTTAACCCCACCATCTGCTCCCCTGGGCAGCTCTCTGCTCCACACAGAGGGCTGTGGTTGCATCAGGAAGGGCATCAGTTGTAAAAAAAAAAAAAAAATGCCATGTCTCAATGTGGCAACCCCTGAAGAAGGGAGCAACTGAAAGAAGATGTTGTTGAAAATGTCCTGTTATAAATCTCTCCCGTCCTCAGTTTCTGTGCATGTCCAGTCCCTCTGCTCCGAATAACAGAACGTCTCCACTGCTGGACACAGCAGGTTTGGCTGCACGCTAGTCCTGCATTTAATGAGCTTACGTGAGATCCAGAGTTAGTTGTGATCGTATCAATGTGCTACATTCAGCAGATTGTATACATACATGCCGTAAAAAGACTATTGGAGATACCTGGA